TACAATGAACTAATTTATGAATATGAATCTAGTCATAAGCTAGCAATGTTGAAATATGATATGTCTCACATGCTAATTCAAATAGCCAAAATTTACACACACACACACACTATATTTAACATGTTCCAACAAGGATTTACTTCATTCTTGTCATGTTGCATTTTAGAAAGGATTGAGTTTCCTCTGTCTTTGAATATGTAATCATTATAATTAACCAACCAAGATCGTGGAAAGTATCATTTTATCATGCCTTAAAGTCTGTATTTTGTAGTTGTAGAAAATTTGAAACGTCGGTATACTTTGCTCACATGCATTGAAGGTTGTTCTTGAAAAGTATATCCTCAAAAGATGGACAAGAAAAGGTCATTTTGACATTATAGAAATGTCAAAGGAATAAAGAATGAGAGAGATCCTAAACTTGCTACCATGACGATATATACAATTAGCTTCCAAAATGATTAAACTTATATAAAAGGTATCTCGTTCAAAAAAATACTCTTATTTGGTTGATGAAAGTGTAAATATTGTATGTCATCAAATCACACACCTTCGATTACAAATACAAAATTCTGAGACTCAAAATTGATCATAATGCACCTATATTAGTGGTCAATGATGGTAAACAACCAAAGGATTTTAAGTAACAACCAAGCACAAAAAGGAATAGTTATATACAATTCAAAAGTTGGGTTGAACTATAAGAAAAAAGAATGTTCCAACTAGAAGTCAATCACAAGCACAACATTCTGATGTATTAAGTTATAAATCTATTACCAATGAAAGTCAATTTTTGCATCCTTACTAACCAAGTGATTTGTATTTATTTAATATTTTAGGAATACCAACCTACTCCTTCTGAAATCTACATTGAACAACCAATTCAATTATACTACAACCAGACAGTAAGCTCATTAAACTTTATATACAATTTCAAATATCTTATTTCATTCTAAAATATGTGGTCAATTTATGATTCTTTATAAAAAAATTTGGATGACACAACTTGCTCAATACTTAATTAGCCTTAATTTCATTTTGTAATTTGTTCAATCATATTCAATTTCGGTTGTATTTCTATAGTCATGTAAAACTTGTAAATTTATATTGTAAAATTATTGAATGGAATTTCCTTATATTATTTTGTGAAGTTATTTACAAAATATATGTAAATCTGCATTATTCACTTAAGCTTGACCTATTTTACTTAATGCACTTAAGCTTAAGCAAATTTTAGAGTCCTGTGAATGGTTACTATCTGTCCAGGTTTGCGGTTAAGCTAAAATGGAAACGCTCAAGTGCATACAAAATAGCTTAAACGAATTACCTAGACTTAAGCGAAACTTGAGATTGTTGGAAATGTTTGCTCTCTGACTAGATTTTGTCTAGATTTTTGCTTAAACCATTTATGACTCACTTAAGCTCACTCAGAATAGCTTAAGCTAATTGTCTATAGCTTAAGTGAAATTGGGATATACAAATACGTGCCTTCTGTTCAATTTTTGCTTTGTTTCTATGAAATTCACTTGAGTAAATATACTTTTGGTTTAAGCGTGCCTTGTTCACTTAAGTCAAATTTTTGCACCCATCTATTTTAGATTCGCTCTATTCTCTCATATTTCGCTTAAGTTTTCACTAGCTTTTAAGTTACGTGTTCGCTTAAGAAAAAAATAAAAATTTATTTAAGCAAATAAAATTTCGCTTAAATAAAAATTAGATTAGACATTCATTTTTCGCGCAAACTGGGGGAGATCCCGGTACTTACTACATCCATATGTCATTAACGTGTAATTTGAATTACTTTGGTTTTTGTAGACTGCACAAAAGCCAACCCATATTTATTTCATTTTTATGATTCAGTGATTCACAATTTGAGTCATACGATTCCATATGATTTGATCTGTCAACGATTGTACAATTGTAAATAATTTGTTCTCTGTTTGCTTTATCGATAAAATATTTGTTAACTAAGTTAGCGGAATTCACGGGGCTCTGGAAATTTTTCCAATTTTTTACGGGTTGTATCACCACAGAAGTTGAATGAATAAGTACAACTGAGATGGTAAGAGAGAAAACTTTTATTTACGATTCATGCAATCAAACAATTGTACTTGTTTACTCATGCAATTCGAATGACTCATCTAACTGTCATTTTATAACTCATGTAATTGTGCTTTTATTTTTGGAGTCTATCAGTATATATATACTTCCAATGAATGAAACATTCACCATATCAACCCACGAAGAAGGCATCTGTGTTTGTCATCTTTATTACAACATTCTTCTATCTATGCTGTGGATGAAGAAGGCATCTGTGTTTGTCATCTTTATTACAACATTCTTCAATCTATGCTATGTGAATGCTTTTTTGGAAATGATTCTACCAAAAACCTCAAAACCTCTTAACAGGTTTGAGTTTATGAGCCCTTTATTGCTTTGCTAATGCGTCCATTATAATTCGTTTGTTAAGAGGATGACAGGTACTACTTGCAATTAATAACAATTGATTTTACCTTACACTATAACCATGATTTATAATTAATTTATCTGTCTAATGTCAATTGATGAAACATCATTATTCATCAGATAAGTAAACTAATATAAGGACATGTGATTTCAAAAACTGGAGTTGCAATCTTTTTTTTCTTTATTTCAACCAAATTCTTGAATTGATAGGAGCTACAAATTTCTGGCTATATTTGCCAATAGAGATGTACTTTGTTCAGTTGCACTTGGAATAGAAACTAGATTGTTTCCAGAATATTTAACTTTCTTTGTTTTTTTGTGACAGTAATGGGCGGGTTACTGCAAAGAATCATGCCTAAAAAACTTAGCTGAAAGATTTTTGTCATTCTCTTGTATGCTTTAGTTTCTAGGTTGTTTGGATAATGTTTCATGTGATTCAGTTTAATTTTAACTAGATATAGAGAAAATTAAAACAAACTAGAAACTGGATAATGCTTTAGTTTCTAGTTTGTTTTAATATTGTTTTTAAAATATTTTATACATTTTTTTAGTAATTTATAAAAATTAATAATATATTTGTTTTTTTATTAAACTTTTTAAATTATTGAATGATATTTTAATGTCAAAAGACTTAATTTAGATAATTAAAAATTAAGTTTTAAATATAAGTAATTAAAATTTAAAAAAATACATGTGAATTAAGATAAAGATAAAGATAAAGAATTTTTATTAAATAAATAAATAATATTAATATTTATACTTAAAAAACTATTTTAATAAGTGTATTTTATTTGTTTAGATTACAATGGTTTTTTCATTAAAGACAAATTTATTTAAGTTTATTGAAAAGTTTATTGTTAATTTTTTTTTTTTCTAATTTCTTAAGGGTTTTCTTTTTATACAGAAGCACAATTTTGACTTATTCAAAAATTGAAAGTCCAAATTAGGTAATGAAAAGGATGATTGATGAAAAAGAAATGTGGTCCAAATTAGGTAATGAAAAGGATGATTGATGAAAAAGAAATGTGGTCCATCTTTGTGAAATTTACTTGAATGTGATGTTTCATTATTATCCCTCTTTTCCATTTGAGTCAAGTCAATATGAGTATGCGTCTGCTTCGCAAGTTTTTTTGGTAAGTTTATGTGAGAGGCGTTTAATTAGGGTAATTTTTAGCTCGTGAATTAACAGAGTATTTAGAATTATTATTATTATTAATTTTATATTAAATATTTAAATGGATAATAAGAGTTAATAATATATTTTAAAAATATATAAATATTTTTAATTTGAAAATTTATAATTATCAATTTTTAAAAAATATAAAATATTTTTTCAAGTTTATAAATACCATAACAAATACCATTAAAATAATAAAACACTAATCATTCGAATAAAATAAACATTCATTAGATATAAATATATTAACTTAGAAAAACATGCATTTCATATAAAATTAATATATAATTTATATGTGTCAAATTATTGATTTAATTTAATGCTTATAATAGGAACGGACTTCTAAAATTTAAAAATGTGTTTAGCTAAATAATTTGTATAAATTACTAAAAAAATTATAAAATATTTTAAAAATAATATTAAAACAAACTAAAAACTAACGTTTCTAGTTTGTTTTAATTTTCACGTTGAAATTAAACTGAATCACATGAAAGATTATTCAACCAAACTAGAAACTACAGCATCAAAGAGTCAAAAAAATCTTTCAGCTAAGTTTCTTAGCTATGATTCCTTGCAGTGACCCAACTAGGCCCATCACTGTCACAAGAAAGCAAACAAAGCTGAATATTCTGAAAATAATCCAGTTTCTACTCCAAGCTGCAACTTTCTTCTGTACAAAGTACATCTCTACTGGAAAATATATAGCCAATGGCCAGAAATTTATGGCTCCTAGCAACCCAAGAATTTGGTTGAAGTAAGGAAACAAGATTGCAACTCCAGTTGTTGAAATCACATAGGCTGTTCTAAAACACAACCTGAATAGATTTATCTGGATAGTAGGCAATAGAGGTAGCTTCACTTTGTGGAAGTTATTCACAAAACCACTATTTGGGAATTTTCTTGAACACCATCTATCAGCAGCATTAAATATTGGTTGACTGTAAATCTGATTAGAAGATCATACATAAGAAGCAAAAGTATGAATAGCTTGCTAGGTAACAAAAAGAAAGTGAAAATTTTAGTGGTACACAACATATCTAAGAGAAGTTGCTTTTATTATAGGCTAATTGCATGGTTTTCCCTTTTGGATTTTTCCTGTTTGTAAAGAAGACAAGATGTTTAGTGTTTACAACTTGCAGCAATTATGCAAAAGTGGCATGATTGTGTTGCTTCTTCAAAGATGGTTAGTGTAACACTTTTAAATCATATAAAATAGAACTATTTTCCATCTAAATCCCTTATGATATATTGGTTTACTCATTTGATAAATAATGATGTTTCATCAATTGAAATTAGACAAATAAAAAAAACTTCTTATGAGAAATTATAAATCAATTGTGATTAGTAGCGCAATCAGTACCTGATATCCTCCCACCAAATGAATTATAATGCAAGCATTAGCAAAGGCAACAAGCCAAAAAGGCTCATAAAACCCAAACCCTGTCAAGAGGTTTCCTGGTGAATCATTTCCAAAAGCTGCATATCCAAAGCATCCACAGCATAGGTAGAAGAATGTTGTAATAAAGATTGCAAGCATAGAGGCCTTCTTCATGGTTTGATTTTCTGGTGGAGGGGACTCTAGAGTATCCTTTGCTCAAAAAAAAAAATAATTCAATACTTTATTTTAGCTATAAATTTGTATATTTTCTACCCTATGTCATCCATTTAGTAAGAATATGAAATGTTGAGGTACCTGTATCTCAAGAAGGACCATTGAGTATGGATAGGCAAAGGCAATATCAGCAAGTGCTTGGAAGACTAACCATAACTTGTTAGGAATGTTGGAAGCTGGTATTCCTGTTATGCTCCCCATAATTCTTCCATTTTCTGCAAGTGCAACCAAAGTCCAATGAATCATTTTCTCTTTGATTCTCTGATTCTAAGTAAATATCATCAATTTTTTTTTCAGGCATAATTTAGCATTCCAACTTTTTGGCCTTCATTGTTAAGTAATTGCACACTTGCTGCGAACAAATGCAAGGAATCTGGTTAAAGAGCATGTAATACAATTTGTATGATATCTTATTTTATCACACCAGTATGCATTGCAAATAATATTCATACAACTTTTATCCTTACCATTATTATTTCAATGTGTATATGAGTATCATGTAATAACACTATTATGCATTGCAAATAATATTCATATAACAAAGGTCTTGTTTATTTTATAGTTGGAGAATCAATTCTCATACCTATGACTTTTGCTATGCCAAGTCCTAGTCCAATGAATGAGTATGCAAAGGACATAATTGCTGCAACAACTGAAACCCACACCATGTTGTGGAGATCCGGGATGCATGACATTACAATCTGAACAAGTCCAAACACCACCATATACATATTACCCCCGTAAATACAAGGAGCTTGATGCCCTTCTTGGTGGTAACATTTTGCTTTCAGAATAGCTCTGTATAGATAGAATAAACAAGTGAACTTATGGTCAAAAGCTAAAAATCAGTAAGCAACCTCTCTAATATCCCAAGAAAATGAAAAGCAACAGTTGCAAGTGATGAATCACACGTTCACTCAAATAGTAAAACCAGTTTTTCTAACCTATGCTCGAGCGCACAATAAGAAATTAATAAATAGTAAGCTCTTATTGAAAATTAAATTATTTAATGTTATCAATGCGTTGTATTCAGTGATTTCATCTAATTTCCAATAGAAATTTAGTGGTGAATTCATTTTAATAGGTGTTATTAGGCACACTTTAAAATAATTGTAGTAATAGTACTGTTATAAGACAATCCATGATGCGTTTAACTAGAGAAGTACCTAAGACTATTTGCAGTGGTAAGTACATAAGCACAACCAGTTCCATACAAGGACAAATATTGAATTAAACCAGCCATCCATGCCCTTTTCTCACCTGAACAAACATTAAAAAGGAATTACAAGTTATAACAATAATTCTAGTTCATGAAGATCATAGCAGTGTCTAGCTAGGCTAGAATGATTGTACATTGGAATGGTAGAGTTTATTACCAAGATTAGTTGTAACAGCAGCAATGTATGAGTAGTTTCTTTTTCCAGTGACAGGATCAGGAGTTCTATAACAATCAGAAAGGAGGCATGAAGAAATATACGTGATAATTGCAAAACAAAACAATGCAAACGGCCCTCCAATCCATCCTAATTGAGAAGTGCTCCATGCAAGAGATAGAACACCAGAACCAATAACAGCAGTAATGATATGAGCCACGCCACTCCATAAAGTTCCTGGTAGAATTGATATTGATGACACAATTAAAATTCAAGGATATAAAAAAATTAAGAATGTTGAGAGAATCTTACCAGTCCTTTTCGCTTTCCCATCGTCATCATAGTCACCGGAATCAGTTGCAGTTATAGTCTTTGGGAGAGAGTTGTTGATAACCATTTTATCCCAGCATCAAAAACTGCATTGAAATAATGAATCTTTTTATTGAATGAAATATGCCCTTTTTCTCTAGCTTCCGAGATAAACAAACGTTCTGTTATTTGTTACACGTAGGATTTGATACTCTGTTGCCCTTCTATTTGTTTTTGCTAACGTAGAATCCTATCTGAAATTTGCTAACGATGTTAAATGTGACTGGTATATATACGAGCAACTCCAATTTTTTGGATATACGCCCCCTTTTCTTTTTCTTTAATAAAATTTTTATATTTACAGATTTATTTTATCTCAAAGAGATAATTGAAAGTTCCAATGAAATGTCTGTGCTAATCAAAGTAAGGAGAAGTAATGTAGATCTAATGTTAATTATGAACCGATTATTATATGATTTTACTATGCGAAGCTGCACGAGATGAGAGATTATGAACCGATTATTATATTAACAGACCTTCCTAACAGTGGAGATTTCAGCTGTCATTCTCACCCTGAAATTTTTTATTACTTTCAATACTCCTCTATGGTTATAACCTAAACAAAACAAACCTTATTGAATTGAAATTAAAATGTTGAATCCGTGAAGTTAAATTTTGAATCATGAATTATATTGAACATTAAGATTCAAACATACAATAAAAACAACTTGAAAGATTTCATATAAATTATGTATAGAATTCTGTAATAATTTTAAACTAGAAAAATGACTGTTAGTTTCGTGAAACAAAATTATAAACCATGGAAGCTCCAAAATCGAGCAACTAAATAGTCAAACACAGAGTAAGAAATTAACAGTATTAAATTCCAGTTCTGAAACAATGAAAATAAAGCATCTGTAGTTAAAAAGAAGTGTCCTTTTTCATATAAGGATTTCAATTTATAAAACTTTAAAATTCTTTTTATAAAAAATGTTAAAAATAAGATAAAAATTAATTAATAAATTCATGCAATTCATATCGATAAAACAATTGTATTTATTCGTTGGACTTCTATCGTCATTCTTGTTGACGACTCATCAAAAATTGAAAACTTTTCCAGTGCCTCGTAGCGCGTTAACAGATATTTTATCGATAGAACAAACGTAGAAAAAACCATTTACAATTCTATGAATCGTTGACAAATCAAATCATATTACTTCGTATGACTCAAATTGTGAAACACTGAATCGTAAAAATGTAAATTACACGTTTCTGACCGGTAAATATATAAGCATCCAAATCCTTATAGATTGAAATTATGCAGCAAAATTTGTCTTACCCCATTAACGATATCAAGTTCCTTTCATGGCGATGAACAAAGTTATTTTTTTTTTGTATTCAGAGTCACAAAATATGTAGAATCGTTGGCAGAAAAAGCTATAGAAGAAGAATACACATAATGTACTGAACTAAATAACAATGCTTCATGATCATACCTGTGGTGTAGCAGAACAACAGTGCTAGTTGACTGGAATGATTTTCCTCAAAAGTGTTATAATTTGCTTTTAGATGGAAAGTAGGGGAAAACTCGAGAATAAATAATAAGTGATTTCGAGGGAGGTACTATACTCTTTGTAATTGGAAAATTTTGGTATCTTTTTTTACTAGTGCAATTAATTTTAAATTAATAATTTAATTAAAAAAACGTTAATATTTTTTTATCTTCGTATTAGAAGAATCACATCCGTTAATTTAAAGAAAAATAGAGATTTTTCATTTTCAGATTAAAAGTGTTACATTATTAAATACTTTATAATTATTTACATATTTTTCCTCTTTATTAAAAAAATATATTATATATAATCATTTTTTTGGGTGAATGATGGCATTAAATATTTTTTTTATTAGAATTTGTTGTTGAGAAATCTGATATAACAAACAACAAGGATAACGGAAGTGTAGATGACTAAATATCTTCTTGTTTATCTTTTTAATATCTTTTTTATTTTATAAAGTAAATATTAAATAAAAAATAAATATATTTATTATTTTAAAAATATAACATATTTAATTATTAAGATAATTTATTAAAAAAAGGATAAACAGATTTAAAATTATTTTATTTAATATCTACTTAGTGTCTGTAACAAATAAAGAGTCATATTTTGTTGAGTAGTGTATCAAAAATTGATTTAAATGTAATGAAATATCTCATTTAATAATTTTCCTTTCAAAAGTTTTGTTTTCAATCTGTTATTTATAATATGGGCAAAATGTAAAGTTAATTTTTAAAATTTTATTTGATAATATTATGATATGTATTTTAAAAGTGAAAGAGTAACGTCTTTGTTATCTAAGAACAAATGAAACTAAAAGTAAAATAATATAAAAATAAATTAATGTTATAAAAAAATTAATTTTTTTACATTAAATGGGATAAAAAATCCTGAAAAAGAGATTTTAAGAAAAATGCGTTTAAACTATTATGTTACTGTATATTTACATAATTCTATAAATGAAATATGTATACAATTCCAAGAGTTTAATTTTTTTTGTAATTAATTATCTATTAAAACATAGATTAATATTATTAAAATGAAATGAAAATTTTTTCATAATAAATCAATAATTATTTTAAACCAATAAAAAATAATGTAATACTGAAAAATAATATTTATTCTCAACTTAAATAAATAAACAATCACATTAAATAGTACTAGTATCATGTTAAGAAATTGAAATAAAAATAATATTAACATAATATAAATTAAATTCATTGAATTATAAAATTTTACGAATACAATGCAACTGATAAAATATTCTCAATAAGAAATATTTTTATAAAATAAATAGTATTAAAGTAAATACAAATGTTAAAATAAAAATAATTTAAAATTTATTATATATATTTTTTAAGAAGATGGATAATTTCTGAATTTTAAATAGTTGATATCTTCTTATTTTTTTATTTTGTGATTTACATAATATGAAAATATATTATGTAAAAAAAAATCATTTAACTTAAATTTCATGTCTTTAGAGTTTAGACTAAATTCTTAAATTTAGTAAGCAAAACATTCACTTGACATATAACATTTGTGATATCAAATAAATTTTTAACTATTATTAAATACAAAAAAAATTATGTTTTAATATTGAATATTCTTATTTGATATTATAAATATTTAAAGGATAAAATTAATATGAAGAAAAAAATTATAAAAAAGTGAGAAATTACATTACTCGTGCAAGATAAACAAAATATAAATGCATGACATATAACATTACAATAATTTTAATATTTAGCTTATCTAAAAAATATATATTTAATTAAATAGCGTGTATAAAATTTAAAATTAAAATTAAGAGATAATCTTATAAAAGAATTAACAAAATGATAAACAATAAAGTTAATTAATATAAAAATTATATTATTATTATTAAAATTCAAATTTATAATATAAAAATAAATATATATGAATATCTAAATCAATTAATACAAGTAAAAGTTATTTGATTCAATCGTATCAATTTTGTTGTTTCGTCTAATTGGTATAGTTGTAAATTCAATTTCAGTATCATCCAATTACCTACAAAATTAGAACATATTATTATATATAATAAATATAATACAAGCTAATTCAAAATACCAAATATCTTATCATATAAATCAGTTGTTGCAAGTTTAATATATATATATATATATATATATATATATTCAATGAATAATTTAAAATTAAAATAAATTACAAAAGTTATATTGTAATATTGTGTGAAATTTCAAACTTTAAAAATTAATTTTAAATTAAGATTAAAATAATTTTTAATTTGATGTTGTGTATTTAAATTTTAAAATTAAATAAAAATAAACAAATGATATTGTAAAAAAAAATTACATTATTAGAATCTATACAACTTAAAGTTTGAATCTGATTAATGCAATTATAATAAATACTTAAAAAGATAATTTTGTCGTCCATAATAATTTACTTAACTGATTGTTTCCTATAAAGAAAAAAATACTTATTGTCTAACCTCAAAAAATAACCTATGCAGCTTAACAAGAAAAAAAATTCATAAAAATACTCTCATTTTGTAAGTTTTAAATTATTTATAAAAGTGTGTATCACCATATTTTTAAGTTAGCAACATAATATTTGTTACAATTTTTTTTCATGTAAAATAGTTTCATTTTGAAAAAAAAAATATTTTTGAAAACAGAAACAAATATGCTAGCCTTTTAAAAAAAATAGTGTTTATTTATAATTTTGAAAAATGTATTTTTGATGATTTTTTTTTAAAAAGGTATTTATTTATAGTTTTGCAATTATTTTGAATAAATTTTCAAAATAGATTAAAAAACTATATTTTAAAACAACAGTATTATTTATAATTGCAATCAAACAAGTTACAGCTCTGTATTTCCCATGAAATTCTAAAACAAAATAGTTTATATACATTCTTAAAATTACATTTTAAAAAGTTTAAACAGGTAGAGCCTAACTTTTCTTCAGTTTTTTCTATCATTAGCCAAATTTCAAATTTAATATTCTATGCAAAAGTGTGTACATAAATTTAAATAAAGGAATAATAAAATAAACTTGTACTTAAATTTTCCGAAACAGGTAGTGAAACTAATGAACTTCTCTTACTCTAAAAAGTTAGGATTGAGACAAATAATTCTGGGCCCAATGTTTTCTTGCAAAGACTTTGTGATAGAAAGTCTTTATCCTTTCGTGATACCATTTTCTTCTTCCATTAATATCATAACTCATAATTAGTAATCTTTATTCCATTCCAAGAGACAATAGACTAACACTTTCCTTGGTCATAGCATGTGTTCATCCAAACTTTGACGTTTAGGAATTGAATTCAGAAACACAGGAATGGTAGTGAGTAGTAAGCAGCCAAATACCATCTTAATTATTAACTAAAATTTATATTTTTTTTAATAAATTTTATTTAATAATTAATAAAATATAACAATGATATGATATTATTGTTTCGTCTAAAGTTTTTATTATGTTGCATACATGTTTAATATTATTTTTAAAATATCTTATACATTTTTTAGTAATTTATACAAATTAGTAATATATA